AAAAGAAAATAACAACAATTATAGTACAGTTAACAATTAGTCCAAATAAATTTGAATATAACTATATGCTATGAACTAAAACAGGGTGATTTTAATATTTAAACCTCTCTCACATACACATACACACACACACATTAAGTCACGGTTTAAAAACAATAAATATTTAGATAGGTAATTTTTGAAGATTTTATCAAGTATGAGGATAATTTTCATCATGAACTTAGAGTAAATGTATAACCGCCATAAACCAGTGAACGGTAAAAAACAGTTTAATCATAGTTTGAAATTCTTAGGCAATGAGCACTAATGAAATCCACTAATCGAATACTTAGGTCTTCTAACAAACATGATTAGAAATACAATCTTTCACATTTTTAGTTTCGATCAGTCTTTGATATTATTTGACCTTAAGTTGGTATCGCACTTCCAGTCTGAATGAACTTCTAAACTGATTTCTTTTTAAGCTACTGATTACTTTTAAAACAGAGTAAATAGCCAAATGTTCATTTGAACAAAAGTCAAAAGGTATCGATCAACACAGTTTATTGTGTAATTCTGGATAACCACAAATGGTGCAGAAATAATTATAACTTCGTGATTAGAAGTAGTCGACAGGAAACCCTGGACCTAGGTTTTGTGCTATTTGGGATTCGTCAGTAAGGTGAACATGTAGTCTTGAGGGAACTGATGCTCTTTGGCGGACTCTATCACATGTCACCACCGAGCTATCGAGGCCGTGACTGGTTTCCTGAAGAACTGAGATATATGTACAATTTATTGATCACTCATTGACTAATAAGAAGGACCTGACACACATGACATTGGTCATTACTAGGTGACCAATCTGTCGTAAAAATAACTGTGTAGTTCTTTCTGTTTTCCAATACTTGTCTATCTTATGTCAATATATAATAGAAAAAAAATACTATTTTTAATAATATTCTGTTAACTTATTTGTGCTTCCCTTTTTAAGTTTGAAAATAAAGTTATCGGCATACGGTTGTAGAGATTGCTGATTTAAGTTAACGTTTGAAGACCTGAAAGCACCGAATGGCCGTTTGGTCCCAGTACGGGACTCTTCAGCAGTGCTCATCTAAGACCCTACAACCCGTAATTGAATCTAGAAGCTTCGGATTTCCTCAACGAACACTTAATCTTTAGACCCCTGGCCTGGAATGAAATAATTTACATACCTAACTTTGGTCGATTCACAAAATCGTGTTACCATCTTTCATTGTCTTTGATGAATAATCCGCAATATCATCGACTGGTTCAAGTTAGACTTGTACACTATTGGATAACGGTTCAGTGGTCTAAAGTTTGATTGTTTATTCACGAGACCCTCAGGATTTGGGTTTGATTCTTAGTGAGTTCGTGATTCCACACTACCATGAGTATGAAGTAACTGAGTATAGCTTCCTTATTTAATTCTGTTTACCAATAAATGATATACTTATAAGCTATGAGTTAATTTTTACACTTTATTTGGATATCTCAACTAGATGCTTCATATATCTTTAGATATCTATTTTTCAATCTTGATATAGTAAGCTAAAATAAAAGATCACTATATGCTTTTTGACTATCAGCATCTAATGTTAATAATTTATTATACTTGTTAAATACTTCCTGATATAAATAACTGTTTTGATTTACTAATGGTGCCTGACGTCAGGTGATCAAGTTTTCAGTTGTCTTAAGTAAACTCAGTTTGAGTTTATGGATTCGTTTCATTAACAAATTATCACTTATCAGTATTTTATAATTTCACTACATAATATGAGGTTATACATTAGTACCATTGGATGCCGGCTCAGTGGTCTAGTAGGTTAAGCGTTCGCGCGCGAGACTGGAGACCCTGGGTTTGAGTCCCGCGCGCGGGATTGTGGATGTGCACTGATGATCAGTCCTACAATAGGACGAAACGGCCGTCCAGTGCTTTCAGGTTTTCAATGGTGGTCTAACATCAATCGGTTAATGATCTCAATCAGAAACTTAACAATCTCCACAACCCCTAAACTGAAATTATTATTTTACAATTCATACAGGTAGAAGATAATTTTAACAATTACCATAGTTAAGTTAGTAATAATAAAGAATATCAATTAATTGTTATAATTCTATTGTCTACATGAATAAATACAGTTATGTATAAAATAAGGATTTCAAGTTTGTGCAAATTCCTGTTTAGTTCTTAATAATATTAGTGTTTGTGAAATTGAAAGAAGGTGAACTTAACAGACGGATATATTTGTACACATAAACAGACGTGACGAACAAAAAATATTTTTTAATAGTTGGATTCATGAGTCGATATAAGCTAGACCAGTATTGGAAACCCAGAAACACTGAACGACCGTTTCGTCTTAGTATGAGACACCTCAACAGTATGCGTCCATGATCCCGTACGCAGGATTCGAACCCATGACCTTCGGTTTCACGTGCGAACGCTTAACTTCGAAACCACTGAGTCAACATCCAACAGTGTTGATTTCTACATTCCGTCGATCCATAAATGGTTGCGCAACATATAGTGCTTCCAAGTTTTCAATGGTGGTCTAGCTTATATTGACCCACGAATTCAACCATTAAAATTACTACAATCCCCATTCTGATCATTAAAAAAATGTTTCACATGCACTAATTCATGCATTGTATAACATTGTGCTATGTGTTACTTAATTAGTATTAAATCAACTATTCAAATGTTTAGTGCATAAATGTATGTAATTAAACGATGACTCATAGTTATTCAATATCACATGAGTGTTATGTTTTGATAAGTGTATCGAATGGAATTGGGTTTAATCTTAATATTATCAAAACATGCGTAACTTTTTTTAAGGATTAGATATATAAAATCTTAACAATTGAATAATGTTTACGTGTGTGTGTGTGTGTTTAAAACACTTAATTTATGAAACTGAACCAAAATTATGACGAGTGTATATTCAATGCATACTAATTGCGAAATTTGTGCGTATGTGTGTGTGTGGGAGGATAAAAAAAGCATAATATAATTCATTTCATTGTTATATATTTCCAGAAGATGAATTCAGTAAGCATACAACTAGAAATTGAAAGAATAATGATATGGTAAGATATATTTTTGAAATGATTCAATGAACGTTGTATTTAAGATCCTTAAATGGGAATTTTCTTATTTATCCTTACAAGTGTTTGCTAAGAATAATTATGTGTTAGAGATATTGACTGATGAAGATCGTAAGAAAGATGTTTATCACTTAATTTCAGAGTATAAAACTAGGAAAAATTACAAATAAACACTTATGAACAGATTCAATAAATCGTTCTCTTCCTTACAGTTTGATTGTTCAAATGATAATGATTCCTGAAAATGATCATTATAGTAATCAACTTCGTTTAAATCTGTAGTGGGTGGGCCCTATGCCACAGAGCTTATTCTAGCTTCTGGACAAACCAATTTATCCATTCTTCTCAAGCTATATTTCGATCTTGTTAATTATGCGCTTATCAACCTTGACTTTTTATGCAAGTGTGTGTGCATTTCTTATCTTACTCATCATTGCTTATTTTTATCTGACTATATATATCGATTCATTATAGGTTAAATTGAGTTGGTTCACTTGACTTCTCCATTACGCGTAATTTCGCTTCACTCTCTTCTCTTCGTTTTGTTCATTTGATTGTCCATCCAGATCAACGAGTGTACAAAATATACGTACTCAAAAATCTATTCTCGTATTTGACTTATTTAATTCCGTTATTCACTAATGCGATTCAAGTCGATGATTATATACGAGGATTGGTGACATATATATTTCAACAGGAATCATTCATACGATCTAATTGGAATCAGATTCATGACAACAAAAGCTACTAAGTGATCAAATGTATTGATACCTAATAAGTTTGACAAGATTATCATAATGATATTAGTAAATAAATAAATAAGATTTTAAAACAGTTAAATTAATCCATTGTGTCATTGAGAATTTAGTGTCCTTTTGATTTTTGAAATCTCGGATCATCTTTATTACTCAGCCTTTTTACGTTCTTTTATGTCCCGAAATTCTTATTCGGATTTAATGTAACTGAACAAGACACTGATGTGGTCGATTGTTATGCGGTTTATGGAGATTTCATTAATATAAAGGCTGATTATCATTTTTTTATTATGGAGTTAATTATAAACAAAGTAGAGGCTGACCCATATGTGTATCACTTTAAGACAAATATCAGTGTAGTAGCAGTAACAACATTATTGACGTTAGTAGAAAAGACTAAACATAAGCTATCTGCTTCAAGTAAAAAGAATGAGTACACAGAATAAAAAGTATAAGATTATTTTTTAAAAAAAATCAGGATTTAATGGAAGATAAAGACTAAATGGATCTGCTCCATTTTGATGGACAGTGAACCATATCACCCAAAGTCTTCAACAAATGATTACAATAAGTGCACAGAATCCAACCAGTAAGTCCGTACTTATTCATTGACTTCATGGACATATGCCATGTCTTGGTTTTAAGCAATACAAACGGAAAGAAGATGTTGGAAACTTCTAATCAAAAGACACGTTTTTGGTTGTAATTAGGGACTACACATAAGTATACACTCTGTAGATTTCAGTTAAACTTTGGTGTAAGAACTCAGGGTGAAATAATCTAACTATGCTAATCACTTAATAATTTGGAATTAAGCGGTCTTGGGTAGTTCCAAACAAGGACTAAATATTTATCCTTTAGTTCATAATTTTCAACATTCAACCAGTTGATATAACTTCAAACTGGAATCGAAACTCGGAATTTTCGGGTAATATAGTAAATACATTATCATTGAGACAAATGATTTGGAATTCATTAATTCACATTTCAACTTCAAACCTATAGGTACTGGATGTGATCCAGTGTATGATAGTGAATAAATACTACCTATTCATTGCTCACTATTTTGCAGCGTTCCTTTACACAACCATTCTTTATAATATTATTATTAATAATAAGGTTACTTCTTACCAGGACATAGTCTATTGATATATCGTTCATTTGTATTATGTTCCATTTTTGAGTAAAACAATGATGTTGTATGCTCATAACTTAATTGATTCTCATGACGATGGTGATGATTCATTGTTAAATCAATTGGCTGATTATTATTATTATTATTATTATTATTATTATTATTATTATTATTATTACTATTAGATTGATTGACATACTCAGGATTCTTTTGTATTGATAATTCACTAAAAATATTTTTCTCTGTAATTGTTTTCCGAATATCTATAAAGTAGTGGAACAAAAAAAGAAGGAAGAAAGAATATGCAAAGATTGATACTATATACAAAGAATAATAATAAGTTTATAAAATGATTTCCATACCAGTTATAAAGCTAAATGATAAGTGTGATTGAATAATTATGGGAATTTCAATGACGATGATGATGTAATCAGAGAAAAATAATTTACACTTATTGAAAGTTAAAACTAATGTATGCTAGTTTGTGACTTTTTTGTCTTTGTCTTAATTATGGAATGTAAAGTCCACGAAGTTGGAGTACAAACAGTAAATACTGGCTTGTTTAAGCTGAAGATATGCGACTGCGTTTTTCTCCTAAAGACTTCTCATATATATTGAGAAAACTTGTAGCATAAACAAAATAATAATCCAAGTAGTATTGTCATTTACACATCGTATCCTTGTTAATGTTATACCATTCATTACTTGTTGAACTTGAAAATGAATGGGAAAATTATAAGAGGTGATCAGTGTGTGTGATGGAATTCAGTGACTTAACGAATTTTTTTTTTAATGTAGGCCTATGACGATCATACTAAAGTTTTCTGTAATATTTCTCAATAACGCTATGATATGCTTTCAAACTTACTGGTCTCGTACTCGAGAAATGACTTAAAAGTTTTGACTATAACCCAGTGTATTCGCTTAAGACCCAATGCCTTATAATCCCATAAGGTGAAATACCTCTTCAATCGTATCTAAATTTTATTTCTTCAATTAATGATGACAGTCTGTCATGAATTTATTTCCAAATCTAATGTTTAATATTTATGTTCAGAAGGGGTTGTGTAGAGATTTCAGAAGTTTCACTGGTTGAAATCATGAATTAATTGAAGCTAGACCACCATGGAAAACCTAGAAGCACTGGACGGCCCTTTTGTCCTAGTATGGGACTCCTCAGAAGTGCGCATCCACGATCCCGCTCCTCACGAGATTTGAACCCAGGACCTATCAGTCTCGCGCCAGGCTCTTGACTCATGATTTCAACCAGTGGAACTTCTGAAATCTCCACACAACCCCTTCTGATAATAATCATCTGCTCACTAGTGACTGACTTCAAAAGATACTCCTGGAGTTCTAGTGAGAAGCCGTTACCAGTGGAGTTCAATCAGGCCTGTTGTGAGATATCAGCTCACTGAAGACAATGGTGTACGGTGGCGCAACTTTGTGGATTGGTTGAAGTTAGACATTAACACCGTTGGATGCCGGCCGGCTCAGTGGGCTAGTTGGTTAAGCGCCTGGCGCGAGACTGATAGGCCCTGTGTTCGAATCTCGCGGGGAGGGGAGTCATGGATGCGCACTGCTGAGGAGTCCCTACTAGGACTAAACGGCCGTCCAGTGCCCCCAGGTTTTCCATGATGGTCTAGCTTCAATTGACTCATGATTTCAACCAGTAATATTTATGTGTCGTAAAATACAATAAATGGTTTAAATCATTTACTAATGATCTATGTTTGCAACATATTTATGTATAAATAAATAATTGTATATTTTGTGTGTGTTTGCACTAAAACACCTCAAATAATTCAACTTAACCACGAAGCAGATAGACCAATATAAAAAAATTACCAGAGACATAATATGCCATTGGAATGATTGACAAGTTAGCATAATGATGAATTGGGAAAGTCACAGATCTTGATATTTTTATGTGTGTGAGATAGAGAGTTATGATGGATGAGCTTCATGTGAGTAATGTTTAAAAAAAATAGATAGTCAAACTTAATGATATACATAATTAGCTTATTTGTAAGCTTTCTAAGACATTAAATAGTTTTTTGTTTATGTTTCATGACTGTCATAATTGTGATCTGTACCTTTGTTAAGGTTAAAGATCCATTTCATAAAAGTATCATCAACTTTTACAAATCATTTTTTAGATGGAAAACCTTTTTCAAGAAAATACATGAATTCAGTAGAATTTTTTGGTAAACTCTGAATGGAAATAAGTATTAGTATCTACAAAAATAGTTACGAACACGTGGTGAATTAGTGTACTTAATTTAAGACTTAAAAAACATAAATTCTAGTGATAATATGACGTACAAAAAATTCGCCATACAAATAAATTGATTACATTGTAAATAAATAAAGACGATAAGGGTGGCAGATTCACAATTAATTCATGAAAAATAAATAGTAGTGGATAAAAGCTATCATTCGGTATTTTAAAAAAAACATCCAAGAAAGACTTCTTTCACTTAAAAAAGCTCATCTGATGATTATGAAGTTTGCTGTAGAAAACTACGGTAGGATACTCACTGGGTTCTGTTCTCAGTTAAGTTTGATAACGTCTCAAGTCACTCGGTTGTACGATCGCCAGGACAATAAAATAGGAATCATGATGGCCCAAAAAGTGCCATTCCTATGTTCCTATTTTTTATATCACGAATTTATGGACTAAACTAACCACCTCTTCAGTTTTTTTATCCAGGCCCAAGTAATAAATGGTGTGGAAACCACTGGAATGTCTAGTAAAGCATGATTAGTTCTAAATCATTTAATGAAAACTTTCAATTTCAATAAATGACTAGATTTAATCAAGAATAAATAGTGGATTTTTTCATTGTACGCAATAAATGTTAAAATGGCACATGTTGATCACTACCTGTAACAGTTATATTCAGTCGATATCAATATGCAACTTCTGGTAGGATGAAGAGAGTTCTGCCAGTTTAACCAATCTCACAAATCGGTGATAATAACACATACAGCTAAACTGATAGCTTTGCTCACGGACTGAATATATATTAAGAAATCAGAACTACTTTTTACCTACGTAAAAATATCAGTCTAAAATGTTATGACTAAGAATTATGTACCAATTTGTATAAACGAGTGATTAAAGCTGAAAATGTAGACCACAAAATAAAATTATGTTTATTCACTACCATTAATTGTAACAGAAAGGTTAAGTGTTCGCGTGAGAGAGAGAAGGTTCGATTCCCGGTTGCAAGGTCGCGGACGTTCAATGCTCTCACGATTTTAATATCTGTCTAACTTGGATTGACTCGTAGCTTCAGCGTAATATAACAAATATATCACATTTCAGTGAATAGAATAAATCACACTTACTTGTATTGACATTTTCAAAATTTTCAACTGGATATAATGTTGAGCCACTCATTGAAGAATGCATTGATGATGACTGACTTGTTGGTTCGATCGTCTCTACTCTGAATAAATTAGATGACATATTTAATAGATCCCATTTCCATGAATCATTATTCAAATCACTAAAACCTATATCCTGACAGTGAGTGAAATTTGACTCTCGATAATAATTTAATGGATTATTATTACTATTATTATTCATCGTTGAAACTAACATTCCATGTGTTGATTACTGATTTCATACATATAATCTGCATAAAAATTAAAAGGAGAAAAAAAAAGAATGAAAATCATTCGTTGCAATAAAGAAACAAAACAACAAACACCGTGTAACATTTATTCATTCAACTTGAATGTTAACTGAACCATTTCAAATTATTGGTCACCTTTACTATAATAATATTAATAGTAGTAATCAAATGTTTGTTTCACTATATATAATACTGTTATTTATGAATATACGAGCGTTATATTGTATGTACTGGTGTATTTCTCAACAAAAAAAATACAACTTTAAATTATGCCTATATCAATGCAAATTACATTTTCAATGTTCCATAAAGTCCAATTATAGTCTAAAATGTTTATAATATAAGTTTATTCCCATGGTTGAGATCATTAGTCAGCTGAAGCTAGACCACTATGGAAAACCTGGAAGCACTGGACGGCCGTTTCGTCCTATTATGGGACTCCTAAGCAGTTCATTTCTATAGACATAGTAAAATTCATCTATATAAATGGCTGCATTCATACAAATCTTGGTAAATTTGTATGAACATTCGTTAAGACTTGAAAAAGAAGAAATTATACATAAAATTCTTTTGCATTTGCGATGATCTCAGTGACTGAGCTTTAAATAATTCCAACATTTCAACATGTAATCAAGTTCAAGCTTGTTTAGGGAAATAATACAAAATAAAAATTTTCAAAAATAAATAATGTCTGTAATAAGACTATACTAAACTCTTGTTTAATCATATTCAAATCTTGATACGGTTCATGGTAAGAATGTAAATCATTTGATGTTAAATGTATTTTTAATGTGATACATAAAGGAGTGTATCTATGTATGTGAAACCATATATTAATAAAAATTCATAACCAATGTTAATATAAACTACTCAAATATTGATAAGAAATCCGCTTATTCCAGCTTATTCACTGCGTGCTAAAGTAATGCATTCTTTCAACTTATTGTGATCATGCCTCATCTCCTTCATTTCTATTTTCTATATTCTATAATCCACTGATCTTATTTCTCCATGACTATTTTTTCATAATCACTAATTAGTTATTATTATAACAGTTAATCATTCGCTTTTCATATTTATCAAATGAACAATTATTTCTGTTCTGCAAACAATATCTTCATTTCAACACTTTTCCTAATTATATTTTATATCATAAACTGATGATAGCTAGACCACCACTAAAACTTGAATGACTTTCGTCCTAGTATGGGATTTCTCAACAACGGTTATACGTGACTCGCACCTAGGAGTCAAACACAGGACCTTCGGTCTTACGCGCAAATACTTAATTCCCAAACCACTGAAACGGTATCCAATAGCACTGATTCAATCAATGCACGATATTTTTTATTACCAGTTACTTCTTTACATAAATTTTTTTCTATTTTTAAAGATTACAAATAATTTGTTCATTATTTCTTAGTATTCGTCAGGTTGGCAATTATCTTTCATCTGTAATCTATTTTCACTTTGATCTGTCATATAATTTATTCTAATTATTGAAAATATTTTCAATCACTATTCTATTTAATAAGGCATTCTTGTATTTTATTACGAACTTATGTATTCTTGCTAACAATGAATACGATCGTACAGCGTGAGTACATGATATGGTTGAAAATGGAAATTTTTCTCACTGAATTATCTTTATTTCTTCTCAAAATGTTGATTAATTGGATAGTATGAGAAAATTTGAATATGCACAGATAATTTTTCTCCAATCGAATGAATTCATCTGAATATTAAAAAAAATATCGGTCTCGTAGTAGTGTGGATGTATGTATATGTCATTGAAATCATCATCTGCATAATGTATAACAGTCAAAATAATTGATTATTGAAATTCTGTCATAAAACAAGAGTATCAATGGGTAATTTCAAGTTTCTGAAAATTAATTTCTACATAATACTATAAAAAGAAGGATAAATTATTCGATCATTAAAATTGTTAATTGTTTGTTGATGTTTCAAGTTCGAATCCACCACTGAACATCAGTTCCCTCAAGATACTAAGGGAGCCTTGCTAAAGACTGGCAATCAGCACAGAACTAAGTTTATGTAGGGTATTTTACCAACTACTTCCAATAACCTAACATCTGTTAATGAACTTTGAATGATGTCATTTTTCCCGTGACCTTAAAGGTGCTAGTTTAAAATCTGTTTGAAGTAACAGGTGAATACTTGTAAAGTTTCTTTAAACTAGAAGAAAATATTCATTTAATGCTACCATTATATGTAACAGTTAAGTAACTAACATGAAGTCTTAAAATAAATGAAATTTTCAGGGTAGACAAAAAAATCTTAATGATGAAATTAATTAACCTATGACATTTATGTTCATTGCTTGAGAACTAATTCACTGCTGTAACTGTCTAAGTGAAAAATGATTATCTCTCCCCCTCAAACCCTCATCCACTACTACCACCAATACCATTGGTAAAGAAGATGAAGAAACATATGTAGCAAAGTGGAAATAATGTAATTCGATTATTCATTCGTAATGTTTCTGTTTCATTTCTGTTCACCTTTTTTTGTAGTAGTAGTTGTTGTTATGATCAGTTTCCCTCAGTGTACTTAATGGAATATTGACACTTAGAATTAGGTTTCAATCTAATATCATTCAAATAAGACAATAACAAAATAATTTATATTATTATTATTATTATTATTATTATTATTATTATTATTATTATTATTATTATTATTATTATTATTATTATTATTATGGATCTAGCCAATATTATATGGTAACTGAGTAGCAATAATAACGGCAATATTGACCTCGACGTTGTCCATATGAAAGTAAATTATCATCATTATTATTCATTAACCTTTGATCTTACATTTGCTCTAGACCAGTGACACCTGCATATTCATAATTCATTAGTATTATTATTTTTATTAGTATGATGGGGTTTGTGAATATTGTGGAAATTTCTTAGTTTTAAACAACAAACTGATCTTGAATGGACCATCGTTGAAGTAAAAAAGCACTATACAGACTTTTTTGTTCTGGCATCGGACTTCCCAACAGTGGGTACCGACGGTCCCACTAGGATTCGGGCCCAGGAACTTCGGTCTCACATCCAAACTCTCAATGTCTTGACCACTGAACCAAAATCCAGTGATACATATGTCTAAATTCAACCTATTCATGAAGGTCCTGGGCCCAATCATTGGTGGGGTGCGTACTACTGAACAGTTTCATACTAGGAGAGGATGGCTTTCCGGTGTTCCCGGTCTTCACTGGATGTCTAGCTAAACTTTGAAAACTTTACAATCTCGATAAACCCCTTCATATTAATCTTATTTGATCATTGCAAACAAAAATAAATACGTCATAAATACATTGATCATGGTGTTGTTTTTGTCTACTTCAAATAATTCTTTTTTAATATTGAGGATGTATAAAGTTTTGTCAAATTTTTTTAGATTTATACCATAAAGCGATTAAAATTATAAATATAAATTGTAAATATAAATGTCAACTCAGTAAGCCCTAAATGCTAAGCGTTCGCTATAAGCCCTAAAAGTTATAGGTTTGATCTATTATGAGGTTGTAAACGAAGAATACTTAGAAGCCTTATACTGAAACGAAACAACTTCACAATATTTCCTGGTTTTCACCGATTGTCTAGCTAAAGCCAGTTGATGGTACACAGTAATAAAGCTTTGATGTTTATGTTGAAAGAAGGTCTATATATATGTACACACAAAGTCCATGAAAGGAAGATAACATAGTAGTGACTCTAGTTTCTTTTGTATTATTGTACCGTTAAATGATTATATTAAACGAAGTAGTTTTAAAGATGAAGATTGTTTGTATAATTCAAGGATAATTTCATTTAGTTTAAGAGTAGTTGAAAATCAATAACAGACGATTTATCTTTATTTTTATACTTATACAACATTTTTAAAATTCTTCAGAAGGATTAAAACGGGAACTGAAAGCGTAACTTTCATTTCATATAGTAGAAAACCAGCAATACTTCTACATGATTAACTTCAAATGTAAAAGCGTACACATTGTAAACACCAATCAGTTTTTGATCTAATAGAAATTATCTCTAATGATTAAAATTTGAATTAACGAGTTGATTTAAGCTAGATCGCCACTGAAAATTTTGAATCATTGGACGGTTTTTTCGTCCTAGCATGGGACAAACCAGATTCCAGCTGAAGAGGAAGTTATAAAAAGACGTTGGAAGTGAACAGGACATACATTACGCAGATCACGAAACTGCATCATGAGGCAAGCCCTCATTTGGAATCCTGAAGGAAAACGGAAAAGTGGAAAGCCGAAGAAAATACTGAGCCGAGAATTGGAAGTAGACATAAAAAGGATGAATAGCAACTGGGAACAACTGGAAATAATTACCCAGGACAGGGTTGGATAGAGGGTGATGTTGGGCGGCCTATGCTCCTCCACGAGGGGTAACAGGCATAAGTAATTAAGTTGGTTTCAAGTTAAAAGCCTTACTTCATTTAGGTCAGTTCCAATAACTAGACCTTATTGTTGGACCTCATGTTAATTATACCTTCAACTATATTATATAAATCTGTACTTAATAAATGAGTTAGAACTGTTGACTTAGAACAGAAATGATGACTAGTGGGTTTTAGAATCGATCTACAGTCTGATTGTCTATACCAATGATTGAACTTGACTAATTGTATTCCAAATTGATCTATGACGTTTTCACAATGAAATATATTTACACGTGTATGATATGTTTGATTGTGATTGTTTTTATAGATGTTAGATACATGCAAACCTATTGAACATTAGAAGTAGTAATTAATAAACCATTCAACTATAAAAAGTGTTAACTTCCATATAGTTCACTGCATAGTATACAGAATCTGAAGTTATATATATATATAACTCTATTAAAGGATTTTTACTAAGATGAGATTTTTCTTTACTGATGTCTAATAATTTTGTTCTTCTTAATCATGTATCGTATTCTGTTTAAAAAGTAGTTGCTAAGATGAATACAATACCATGAAAATCTTTTCTTTATGAAAAAGTTATGCAGAAATTTCATATGCCTTTCTGTTTTATTTT